CCGTGTGGCTGTGCTGACTGCAGGCCCTCCTCACGCTGTCTGCGTGTTGTTTCCTAGGTTGGCGGCGTCCAGATTCAAACAGGAGTTGACTGCGAACCCCTGCTTTTAACTGTTCTGCATCTCGCAACCAGCAGGGAAGGGGGAATGCGTCAGCATGTCTTCCCAGCGAATGCCCCCGTCGCTGCTCTCTTCAGCACCTTAGCAATCCCAGCAGGTGCCATCTTTGTGAGCAGGGCCGAGTCCTCAGGAGAAGCGAGCTGGACTGCTCTCCCCATGGAAGACCTGGAGACGACCTTCAGAGAGCAAGGTCTCCGGGATGGAAGCTCAGTTCTCATTCAGGATGCCGTCAGTAACGGCTACAGGTGACTCGTTGAAAAGAGAGGATGTTGTGTGAGCACGCGGATGCTGTATGTTAATGGCAATAGGACCATGCTAAGACTCCCTTTGACCCTAGACATGAACGCTAGGTCTTCTCCACAGGAATGCCCCGGTTGCTGCTCATGCTCACTGCCCTCAGTCATGCCGACCCGTAGCACCTCGATAGGACAGGGTAGAGCTGTCCCTGCGAGTCTGAGGGGAACAAATAATGTTGTAAAGTGGTTTTTGGTAAATGTGGCAACTAAATAATAGAGATAGCCCTGCTTTTATCAGTTCGCTCTACAGGCAGTCCTCTGGGTTACAGACGCCCACTTTCCAGCAGTTTCTCCTGGCAGAGCTTCAGACTGGTGCTCTGTGACCAGTGCAGTGAGACAGGAAAAGAGCAGCGCTCTCACAGAGCCGGTGCCTCGTGGCAGACCAACAGGAAACGGCACCAGAGCCGTGGGAGAGGGACTCGGATGCAGGAGATGGGGTGGTTGGTTGGCAGCACTGGGAAAGCAGCCGTCTCTGAGGCCTGCTTGACTGTTACTGTGCCCTCCGTGTGAAGTGGCACCATGGTGAAGGTGCTCCTCTGAATCCACTGGAACCCACCGGCTGCTCTGACAAAGACACGGTCCCCTTTTTCTGTAAAGCATGTCTTCCCTGTGCTGAGTCTGAAGCGACTCGCCAACAGTGGGTGGAAACGATGGAGCCCAGCCCTTCCCTTGCTGCACAGGCAGTTCACGGTCACTGTCGTGATGTTACAGGACAGAGGAGAACTGCTCCTTGGAGTTTCCAAAACTGTATACGTTTGGGGAGCTGAGGGCTCATGTGTCCACTGTGAAGCAGCTGGTGGGCTGGACTGCTGGCCCTACAGTTAGCAGCCAGGGCTCTTTTCTCTTGTTCGACGGTGAGTTCCAGGGAGAGCCGTCCGTGTGCACCTGTGCCGGTGCACCTGCAGAACGTGAAAGCAGGCGCTGGTTGTGAAGTGGTTGGGCCCCCGCCATCCTCCTAGCTGTTCCCAGATCGGAGGCCTCTGCTGCAGCACGGCATCCTCCATCTCTCACCGCCCCTCTACTCTACCAAGCGAGACATGGGAGCTGCTCTTCTAACCTGGGGCCGCCAGTAGTCTAGGCTGCTTGCTATAAAGCAGAATCTGTTCTGCTGAGCTCCTCTATAAAACTAAAGGAACACTCACAAAGAAAATGCCGGACCTTTTTCATGATGAAAGTAGCTAGTTCGTGTGGGTATTTTATTACACAAGTCTCATACGGTGATTGAATTATTCCTTATGATTCTTCAGATCCTCCCAGCTGCCCCTGTGAGGTTTTGGGGTTCCACCACAGTGGTAAATCCGACTAGGGCCCCTTTTTTGCTGCTGCTTTCTGCCTGTCTCACCCTTCCTGTGACAGTCCAGCTCTGAGGGCCCTGCAGCCTGCACTGCCACCCCTCCCCCACGTGCCCACGTATTGAAGGTCTCGCTGCTGTTTCTTCTGTGATGTGGAGATATCGCCTGGCACCACCTTTGTGGAGCTGTGAGTGATTAGGAAGTGTCGGCACGTCGGGAGTGCCGGATGCTGTGCCGCAGCCCGTGAACGTCTCCATCCAGTCTCACTGTGCCAAGGCGGCCTGGACCACATCTTGGTGCTGGAAAGTCTTCCCTGTTTTGGACCGCTGACTTCCAGTGGAGTCGCAGAAAAGGAGTACGTGGGCTGAGAGGCAGAGATGCATTTTCAGGTTCTGAAACTCAACTGCGGCTCTCTCTGGAGAACATGGCAGCAGATGAGTCGGAGAAACCAGTTTTCAGAGTCATGATTAGAGACTCCATAGATGACTGTCCTAGAGTACACCCTCGATTGAACAGACAATGGATAGACCTGGTCACTGTGGGACCCAGAATTAGAGGGTGTGCCTAAGGAGAAGCATTCATTGTCGGTCCCCAGAACCCTGTGTGAAGACAGTTTCTGAAATGCCTTTTTACCTTCAGTGTGTCTGCCAGACCAGAGAGATGGCACCCTCAGAAGGAAGAGGCCACCTGGCTCCAGGTTAAAAACATGTGCTGGGGGCAGTCTGGAGAGCACCAGGTTCTGATCGCAGCAACTGCTGGCACGGTGAGTAGATGCTGCGTCCAGTGTGCCTGCCGCTGCCGTCTTCACTGATGTCTCACTCTTAGGAAGTCAGCACGCACAGCACAGCCCACGCCCCATTGGACTGTTTCCCTTCAGCCTGTTTGAAGAGGGTCCGTGGGTGGGGTTGAGAAATGTGTGAGTCTGTGTTCACAGGTCATTTGGGAATTTCCTAAAACCAAGCACACACACGTTTTGTTCTGTGTTGCTGCTTTTGCTTTATTTTCAGTTCCTCGTAAAGTTCACTCTGCGTCTACCTGTGCTCCGGGCCAGCCCAGCCCTGCCTTTAAGTTCACTAGGCCAGTGCAGCGCTTGGGGTTTGGGTAGTTGTGGGAGGTGGGTTTTTTGGTTTTGTTTTAAAGTAACAAGTTGAAAGAAGCATATTGCAATGTCTTTTTCCTGGATAAAACATACCCATGTCTTCCATTATCATGGCTATTCCCACCAAAGCAGATTGGAGGATTCTGAGAGGAAAGAGAATAAATCTGTTTCACCCTCGAATTCCCCAGATTTTCGGACTTGTAGAAACCTACCCTGAATGAAAAAAAACTTCTATGAAAATAAGTGGGAATTTTGAATACTGCCTGTGGATCGGTATCACACATTCTTAGAGGGTTTCTGTGAACCCGCCCAGTGTTTCGTCCTTAATGTAAAGACGCATGCTTCTCGCTCGTTTTTGTCTCCTTGTCAGGAAAGGTGGGGCAGCCAGTGGTTTCTACAGGTGTCGCTTCTGTTCCACCTGCCCGCACTGTGGCCACAACCCCTTCCGAGGGTTTTACTCGTTTTTTGTTTTTGATGGTATAGAAGGAAATGAGTTTTAGAGGTGGAAAACTGTTCCTCAAAGAGACCCAAGAGCCTACATGCTGAATGGCTACTCTCGGTGCTTTGTTAGGCACTGGCTGCCCCCACCCCCATTGTTTTCAGCCTATACACAGTCATTAGTGTGTTTCTCTATTTTAGGTGGTGGTTGACATTCGAATTAAAGCCATACAAGAATTAAAATTAATGGAGGAACTAGGTAATCCTTTATGTTTATTGGTTTCACTGAGTTTTGATTTTGAAATTTACGAATATATAATATACGCACACATATATATTTATCTATGTAGAATAGTACAAACGTAGGTAAAATTTACACACCTACCACCCAAAATGGACAAATGTGAATCTTTGGTCCCGTGTTTGTGTTGTAAACGTGGCAGATCGTCCGAGAGTCCTGTCTACTCCTCAGACCCGGCCTCAGGGCACCCAGTGCACAGGGTCCGGTCCTTGGACCCTTGCTGCTCCCTATCTGTTCTGCAGACCCACGGGGGCTTCCTTCCACACATGCCTAGGAAAGGATGTCAAGTACAGTCAGCTTTTTCCAAGAACTGATCTGAAGCCCCCTCGTATATTTACCTGTTTCTCTTACATTTACCTACGTTTTTTCACGTAGGAGAACATAAATGTTCCCTTCATTTGCTGTTTGCTCAAAATGGGTTTTCTTGAATAGCTTTATTGAGGTATAATTTATATATCACTAAATTATCGCCCATTTTAAATGTCCAATTTGGTGCAAAGGGGTGGTGGCCTGTGAAATGGTAGGGTCCCTTTGGGAAAGATTCCATCTTAGAAAGGGACCCTCCACTTACCAACCCTGCTCCTGCCCACTCCTAGAATGTACACAGTGTCTTTGTGCACAAGAGGTTCCCCCCAAAGCCGGGCTCATGTGAGCAAGGGATTGGGTAAGCCCACTGTGGTTTAGCCGCCCAGAGGAAGGCTGCTTAGCATCCATCCATCCATCCATCTGCAGCAGTGCACCACCACCCCAGACAACACCTGCATGAACCTCCCAAGCACACCACGCAGAGTGGGTGCACACTGCTGGTTATGAACTTCTGTAGAAAGCAAGTCTAAGCTTCCCTGGCAGAGGGCAGCTCAGTACGGGGTCGCTAGGTGGGACTGACTGCAGAGGGAATTTGGAAAAATTATCTTCCTCTGACTTTGCTGGTGATGTCCAATCCAAATGTGCATGCCTAACTCATTGAGCTGTGCATGTAAGACGGTTGCCATTTCTTTACAAGTGCGTGATCGCTCAGATAGGTTGGCTGAGAGGAGTCCTTGTCCCTGTAGCTTGCTTCTCCAAACCATTCTTCTAGCCAGTGGAGCTTGGTGATAGACGAGGGGCTTTCAGAGCTGTGTGGAGTAGTGGAAGGGAAAGATCATGGAATTATTTTCCACGAACTTTGTGAAGCCCCTTGGTCAGTTGGGAGGCTGGCGCTCCTCTGCTCAAAGCGTGGAGTGCTTCACTGGATCTGGAGTCATTCTGGAACCGAGCCCACAAGAGTCTGCTTCACCTGCCCGCTGCTTCAGGAACCTTGCTCTGATCCACTTCCTGCTGGTCCACAGCTCCCTCCCTGATGCCTTACGGGTCTGTCTCCTAGCCTCCCACTGTCCACTAACCCCGGCAGCCCTGAGCTATCAGCAGCACTGTTCTTGGCTCTCACCCTGCCCCGCTGTCTCCCCAGAGTGCCCCGCCCGGCTCTTCCCAGCACCCTCAGAGCACTTCTGTTGTCATGGCCACTGTCCTGCTGTGGCTGACGCCCACCTCACTATCAAACGGGGTTCAGGGAGGTGCAGACCATGATGGTCTTTCTTTGTACTGTGTCCCCTGCTGTCCATACGGTACCAGGCACTCAGAACAACACAGCAGAGCCTCCCGTGGCTCCTCTAGGCCTGCACTAATGAGCCGCTGCTTCTTTACAGCTGAGCACACCTGTCTGAGACCCATTGAGAGAGGTGGCAGGCTGCTGGCACCAGGTAAGCCCCTTTGGTTGCCTTCAGAAGCAGGGTGCAGACACTACCTGTTGCTCTTAACGCTTGTACTTTCACAGTGACGTCCAGTAAGTTCACAAACTTCTAAGTATTTACCTCCTGCCTTTAAGAAGCTGACTTACAGGATATTGTGTCATCCAGGAACTTCCCACCTATAGTCACAGAACACCAAGCCAGTGGCACCAACGTGCCTGTGCTGCCACTGAAGTGAACACTTGTCCTGATGGTGACATCGTGCTTGTAGTCCGAGTCACGGTCTAGTTAGAGAGCTTGATTGAGACTGATTTTCAAGGGTCTTTAAATTGATCTTGCAAATGTTTTAGTAATCGGTTCCGGATTGGAGCCTTTGTTCCTTGCATCTGAGCTCCTCTTGCCATGAGTTTATTCGTGGACAAGCCTAGCTTGGTGGTAGTCTTGGGAGAAGCTAGTAGGTCCTAGAAAGGTTCCTCAACGCCGAATCGATGTGAACCAATAGGTACGAATCTAGCACATTGTCAGCTGCCTCTTCTTCATTAGTCCAGCTGCACAGATAGTAAGTATTCCCAGTCCTACAGAATAGACCCTGAGGGACGGAGCTGTAATACAGTTCTATCCATAACAGCGTTAATTCTCAAAGAAACACTGGTTTGGGCTCGGAGAGGTGGGAATGTTCATCATCTTGCCCAAATTCCCCACAGTGCCAGACAGTTACACCGTGAAGGAGGCAGACCTGAAGCCGGGAAGTTCGTTGGGACTGTGTCCTGGAAAAGCACCATCTTCCACTCAGGTGAGGTGGGGCTGCCTGTCAGGGCGGACCCCGGGCCTCTGCCCTGCATTGAATAATGAACTCGTGCTGCCGTGCCATCTCTTCTACCCTCCCCTCAATCCAGCCTTTCGTGATACATTTTTATTTCAGGAATGCAATTATATATAAAGGGACTTCAAAAAGTTTGTGCAAAATTAGAATTAAAACATCATGGAGTTTTTCCCACTCACTCTTTGAAGCTCCCTCATCGTTGTTAGTGATTAAAAATACTTACCTCGAGCATATTCCTAAGGAGAGTGTCGTGGTCCCAAGGGGCTCTAGGCTGCCGCACAGGGTCGGCTGCTGACCACATGCTTAGCCGTTCAGACCCAGCGGCTGCTCCACAGGAGAAAGATGAGGCTCTGCTCCCGTAAGTCTGCACGCACGGAACCCTGTCAGCACAGACCACAATCAGAATGCACCCTTCCGGCTGGGCTTTCCTGTGAAGGTCAGGTGGCCTCATCTCAGGGTCCCCAGGCCTGTTTTTCCCACCCACTTCCTTTTCCCTGCTCTCCACTTGGCCACAAGCAGGCATGGACGCATGTCCAGCTGGGAGGAGACAAGGCAACAGCATTGAGGTCCCATGAGGGAGGACAGGCCCCAAGCCATCAGACATCATTCCTTTAGGGCCTTGGGAATTGTGTGGAACCCCGAGACAGAACATTAAAGTGCAGCTAAAAGGCTCAGAGGAAAGAGTGACTGTTGGTCAGTGTCTGGCAGCTCCGCGCCTCTGTGTGGTAGTGGTTGGTCTCGGAAGAGCACCTGTGAGGCCTGAAGACTCTGGTGTTTCTGGGGAGTGGGAAAATTGTAAGATGAAATTAGCTCTCCCGCATCTTATTTTTACATAACAATTGCCATCAGTGATTTCCTACTGCTCAGACCCTAGAGAACAGCCTCATCTTCCTCCCATGAATGGGCCGGTGGGTTTGAACTGCCAACCGTTCAGTTAACAGCCCAGCACCCAACTCCCAGCAGCCCAGGGGCCCCCACATGACAGAGAGCAGGCTTTCACTGGTTGACAGCGTCGTCGGATGGAGTTAAGTGGTGCTTCTGCCTCCGTCTCAGCGGTTCCTGTCCTTCTCCGTGGGGAGTGGCACTCAGCGCGGGGTGGAGATGGAGATCACAGGAGAAGAGACGCTCACCGTGAGAGAGGTCAGTCGGGCTGTGTCCTCCTGGTCTCGAGGGCCCCGGGTGTCTGTCTGGTTGAGGGAGAAGCGCAGCCGTGTGGGATTGGAGCGCCCATGGCTGTGGTTGGCCTGCTGCACTCAAGTGCATTGTGTCCTTTCTAAAGGAATCATTTTTGGAAGCTTGTGCCAAGAGGAAATTTTTAAAACAGTTACAGGTTTTCCCCGATCATCAAGAACGCTTCCTTATTGTGGAAATTTGGAAATGCAGAAATGAATACAAAGAAAAACAAAGGTGCTTTCTTTACTAAACCCACCATCCCTGTGGTTTTGGCCTATTTCTGCTTTATGTCCACACAGGCCATGCTGGGCTCTTGGCTCTTCCTCAGACAAGGCCTTGACACCAGCTGGTACCCAGGCCACGGACAAGCCCAACGCTCCATCTCGGTCCGCTGGCTGTCCTTGCCCGCTGGAGGAGGCCTGCAGCCCTCTGAGTGCTGCCCCAGCCCCTCCGCTTCAGTGGGGCGAGCTCTCGCTGCCCTCGGGTTCTGAACAGTCTCCTGCCCTGGAAAGCCCTTTGCTCGGTTCCTTTTTAATCGTACAGGTAATCACGGATTTGCTCCCATTTTGTAAATTTTGAGGGAGTGAAAATGTCCCCCTCTCCCACTACCCTGTTGGAGCCCTTTCCCTGCGGTCACTGTTGTCACCTTCTCCGCAGAGATCTCTGCGTGTCCACCCGTCTCAGCCACCTGGCACACAGCGTGGGTATGCGGGAGCACACAGGAGCGGAGTGCATGGCCCGTCTGGGGGCTCTTGTCCGTTGTAAACGAGTTCAGATATTTTAAGGCTCTTAAAACCAGCTCATGCTTACCTGTTTTAATCTTTTAATTCTTTCAAGACCTCTCAGTTGTTGACCCTCCCTGGGCTGGCAGAGGGAGCGTGGCGCACGAGGTTCTCTGCTCTGACTGCTCCTGGTGTCAGTGAGGGGTGAACGTTGGCTATCTCTGGTCAGCCGGCCCTTCCGTCCTCCATAAAAGACCTGGCTGAGAGGAGAGGAGCAACACTGACCCAAGTCCTGGCTGGCAAGACAGTCATTAGCTGTCCTGCCGCTGAGCAGGAGCCCGTTTGGTTGGGGGCGGGGAGGAGTGTACTTACGCACGGGCTCCTCACCTAAGACGGCTCAGATCCTGGGAAGAAAAGCCTGGGCACACTTCCTCCGGAAAGAGCCCGCATTCACACAGTGGGTTCCCATTCCGCTCTGATGCACGCCACAGCAACTGGTGTCTCCCACTTGGAAATGTCATCTTTTAACTGTGTATCCCGATCCATTGAGCATGATCAGATAGCATCAGACTTGGATAGGCCCAGAGCCCTCCGGGGCTTCCCAGGGTGCTGCAGCTCAGAAAGAGCAAACTAACGGTGTGCTCATTCCCTTCCACAGTGTCTAAAGAGAATGCTGGAGCAGTCCGGCCTGCCAGGTAAGCCACACACCTGGACGCTGCTATCCGAGCCCCATCCTTTCCTTTCGAACACGCTCTCTGGGCACCGAATGGAAACTTCTCAGGCGTTTTCTCTCCTGGGTGGGGGCGTTCACGTCCCATTTGTGTGTGTTCACAGTGGAGTTCTCCTGGCTCTGGCTTGTGAGTGAGCACAGAGTCTCGATGGGGCCAGCAAAAGGAAGAAGGCGCAGCTAAGCCCGTCCCCTTAGAGTGAGCCTGCTGTCACCGAGTTTCCAGAAGTCGCACTGAGTCGTGATGTGGGCATTGTGAGGGGTAGCTGCCATCGACTCGGCTCTGATACTTGGCGACCTCGTGCAGGATAGGCGACAGGATGTGAGTGGTCACCTGAGTCTGAACTGACCCGATAGCTCCGGGATACTTGGGGTGTCGGAGTTGATTGTTGGGGCTGCTTGTCGGTCCACTCCCCTTTGTTCTCACTGGCTGGTCTTCAGGGGTTCTTCCCCAGAAGGGGTGTAGTGCTGTGTGCTGGCAAGTCAGCAGAGCTGCCCCCCAGGGCTCCTAGGCTGCAGTCTGCACAGCCCAGACCACAGGCCTTTCTCCCGGGGTGGGGAGGGGAACGTCTGTCCGTCAGCAGACAAGAGCTGACCTGCTGCACTGCCAGGCCTCCTTGGGGTTGGTGAGGGACTTCAAGTCCAGCTGTTGCTGCCTGGGAGGGACCGAAGGTCTCAGTTCCCAGAAGCAGCTGTGCAGCAGCCCTGCAGACCCCAGCCTGCGGCCCAGGCTCTAGCGGTCAGGTGCCTCATCTCTGTGGACAGCAGTGCCTTTGGGCAGGCGGCTCTTCCCATTTCACAGACCAGTAGGCAGTTGGGTAGCCTCTCTCATCCACACCCGGCCCCTTCTACCACGCTGTGACCTGACGTCATGGTGTTTGCCCAGATGGCAGGGGGCTCGGGAGGGTGGGGGTGGGTGGGAGGAGTTCATGGTGCTTAGATGAAACGAAAACCATGAAAGACAGCTTCACTGTGCTTAAAACTAAAATGAACACTAACGAGGGTGCACAAAGAGCCCAGTGGGCCTTCGATCCTCAAGAGGAGAACTACTCGGTCTGTGCGGCCAAGGTCAGCAGTTGGCACCACCAGCTTCTCTATGAGGCGCAGCCTTGGGAACCTCAGGAGCAGTCTGCTCACCTCACAGGTCACCAGGAGTCACAGTGGCTCCACGTGGGTGTGTTGCTTCAGCTCTCCGGATGGGCAGTGGGGTAGGGTGGTCGAAAGATGCTATTGCTCAGACTTCTGTTTCTAATGGCCCGGATTCTAACTGCTACACAGGGACGAGGCGCCTCACCCCTCTAGAGCCTGGGGTCTCAAAAGGACAAGCTTCTCATTTCCCCAGTGTAGCACACTTGTTGGAAAGCAGAAATCTAGTGAAAGATTGTTGAATGTTCGCAAGCGCTCAGATCTACTTTACTAAAATGTTATGGAGGACTTTTACTTACTGAGTACTGGTGGTGCTATGGGTTAGGCATTGGACCCCTAACGACAAGGCCGGTGGTTCAAGCCTGCCAGCTGCTCCTTGGGAGAAAGGGGAGGCTGTCCGATTTACAGACTTGGAACCGTGACGAGTCGGAATCAACTCTGGGTTTGGGTTGTTGTTAAACTTTCAGCTTAGACAAAGGACTAAGTCCTCGTCGTGGTTGTAGAGAGGACTGCTCATGCACACATGCTCATATATGTGAACTGGTGTGTGACGAGTACAGAGGTACATTTGTAGATAATGAGGATGTAGAGTCTGTATGATAGTAAGTGTTCTCAGGTTAGTCCTTGTGGAGTAGAGGCAGATTAATCCAATTTGAGCAACATTGTTTGTTTTCTAAAGGGTTTGTTTGTTTGCTGTTGTTTGTCAGACTGGAGGTTTCATTTCAACAGACATCCCTGGCTTAAAAAACAACAACCAACCAAAAGGGGGGAGGTGGGAAAAGAGGGGGTCACATGTCATGACACCCACCCGGGCGCAAAGCCCCCATCCTCTGGGCTCCCTCTGAGGCGTCCCCAGTGTGTGCGAGCTCCCACATAGAAAGCAGGAGCGAGTTCCGAGCTTGTTAAGGAAAAGTCTATCCAAGAGGTTTCTTCTCGCAGAGGAGGGCGGGTCCTCAGGGAGAGACCCCGGGCTGGGAGCTGCCGGGCCCAGAGGCAAGGCTGGGGCTCCGGGCCGGCTGGTGGTCCTGCAGAGGTCTCATCCCGGCCCTAGAATCCATATTTGGCTCAGGTCTGACGACGTGTTCTTCAGCTCCAGCTTGCGCTCCTTCGCCTGGTGAATCAGATATGGGATCTGGAGTTTCTGCCGCCGCTGGCCTGTTGGCTACTCACCTTTCTTTTGGCTGAGCGGCTTCATGGTTTTCTCATTTGTCAAAGATTTGATCATCCACTGCTGGGAAGTTGATCTCCTCCCTCCCTCGGTTCCTCTTGCCCTGTAGTCGCTTAAATGCTTCGTCGTTGACGACGAAGGAAGCACCTGGGGCAGTTTCCTGGGTTGGGGGAATGGCTGGGTCCCACCACGTAGTGATCCCGGTCGTAAGCCCCAGCAGCACGGTCATCGCCGTGCGTGGAAAACGGATTGTAGCTGCGGTCGTCCCAGGCTTAGGCCTCCAAGGGGCCCCATCGAGCCTGCTGCCATCTTGAACTCAAGGGGGGCATTGGCTGAGGCGTCCTGGAGGGCAGGCGCGGGACGGGAGCAGTAAGGGTGGGGCTGCCTGCTGGGGAGGGAGAAGCAGCTCGGGGGGCTCCATCCTCTTCGCTGTTGTCCTCGTCTGCCGTCACCTGCAGGACAGCACTCTCGGCGGCAGCCTTGATGGCAGAGGGGACCGAGGGTGGTTGTGGTGCCCAGGACAGGGGCGAGGGAGGAGGGCTTGGTCTTAGGAGCAGCCTCTCCAGGGTCTTTTTAATGGCACTCCTGCCCTGGAAGAGAGTCGTTAAAGGCTTCATGAGGCAGAGTAGCAGACCAGACCTGATTGGATGCCGATTATCTGGAAAGTTCATTCCTGACAAACTCAGAAAAGATAAGGTCTCTAAAGGGCTCGCAGGAAAATGGGTGAAGAGATCGTGGAATTCCTCCACATACGTTTTGAAGCGCTCCTGTCCCCTCTGAACCAACCTTTCCACGCCGATTCTGATTCCTCCGTAGGAGACACGTGGCATTTGCGGAAGACGGATTGGTGTTATGAAGCTGGGGAAGCTCTCTGTGAAGAAGTAAGATTCTCTGCGTTTTCTTCCGACAAACAGACCAGGAGTCCTCTGTCTGTCCGTGCAGCACACCCGCTGCACTTGAAAGTCAGTGATTTTATTGATGGACAAAGCAAAGCAATCTAGGGACGGCCTCTCACTTCCTTCCTGGCTCAGCTGGGTGGTGGCGGGCCTGCCCTCAGGGGAGGTGGCCCTCCTCACGGGAGAGGGTCTGTGAGGAGGAGGAGTGCTTCTTCAGAGAAGGAAAGGCGTCAGTCAGTGAGGGAGGTAAAAGAGCACCGAATCCATGAAACCATCTCCAGGGTCCTTGTAAGCCAAGACGGGCAGAGCCCCTCCGAGGCCCTGGTCCTCGGGTCACTGCGCTGCGGGCCTCGGCTGGACGGTAAACGGGTCTGTTGGCACCATTTCCCAACAACCTGTGCTGTGTGTCCGTCATGTTTGAGTGACGCTCAGAGTATCTCAGCCTCTGAGTGCTCTCGTGCACTTGATGGGCGGAGTGTGGTGTGAACATAGCACAGGCTGTCGGAAACTAACCGGACAGTCCGTACAGCCTGCTCTCGAGGGGAGCATCGCTGAGTTGGAATCCAGCTCTCTGCTGGTCCAGGTAACGTCAGGTGTCCCGGTCCAGACCCGCCGCCCTACCCCCAAAAGGGAGCTTGGTGAATAAGCACGGGTACCCAGGGCCACTGCCCTTCCCCGCAGCCATCTGCCCTGCTGGTCAGGACTCAGAGTGGCATGGAGGCGGCACAAGGTTGATGAAGCAAATGGACCGGGGCCTTGCAGCCAGTGCATTGGTGTGGAGAGGCGCGGGAGTGGGTTCCTGACGGTCAAAACAGGGACCCTGGATCCTCAGGACACAGCATTCGGATGTCTCAGGGCTGTCTTCTCCGTTAATTCCCCATCCTGTGCCAAGCAGTTTGTCTGAAAGCAAGCTCGGAGCTGGCCTTTCCTCCCTGCTGTACTGTGTGCCCTTCTCGTGCTGTTCCCACAGCCCACACTACGGCTGACCCGACATGCCTTCCTCTGCCCTTACAGCTCCAGGGCCTGGCGGCTTCCCTGCCTCCTGACCACCCCCTGCTGGACTCCTGACTCAAATCTCCTTCCGCCGCACCTCAGTCACACTACGGCAGCTGGCCTCCCTGGCCCAGCTGTCCCCACTTCGTTAGGTCCACCACACATCGTCTCTGAGAGCCCCTCTCGGGAACTGAGTGGCTCCTTCTTCACAGCACCTGACGCTCCTTCATGCGGGTCTCTCAGCCCTGCCACAGAGCATGCCACCCTGCTGCTCAGACTCGCCACCCTTCTGGAGAAATCCCATCCATTCTGGTTTCCTCTTTCCAAATCTCTCTCTTAGCTAATACTTCACCTGTGTAACGCCACCTTACCTTTTCTTACTTCATACGTCTCCCTTCCCCCCAGGCTTCCATGGGCTTACACCCCATGAGTGATTGAGCGCGCAGCACCACAGCTTTAATCGCCTTGGCTCGTTTCCCCTCTCACCAGTCTCTACTTCACTTGTTGATTTACCATCCCTGGGAAAGGTGCTAGAGACGCGGGTAAAGACAGCCAGCGGTTTGTTCCTTTCAGAGGCCGTGAGTGACACAAGCCTTTCTGTATTCCCAGGATGCGACCCTGAAAGAGCTCGGGATAAGGTCTGGAGATGCTTTGGTTTTAATGGAAGGGGCACTTCCTCCTCTGGTAAGATCTTGCTTCTGAATAGAGCTTTTGAAAGCAGCAGTTACTGTTTTCCAGTTACAAAGGGGGATGTCGTCTCATTGTGGAAAATGGGAAAGTACAGTCATACAAAAGAGTGGAAACGTATCTAAATCCCACCAACCAAACGACCACACTGTACATATTTAATATACTTTTTCCCATTTCTAATTTTTCCTTCTTATAAATAGTACTACCTATAAATCCTTTGGATTTCCAAAGATGAAATGACAGAGTAAAAAGGTGTGAGCGTTTCCAAGACTTGATGCCATTTATTGCCTGGTTGCTCTCCCAAAACGCTGTACCGGCTGTACACTCCTGTCTGCCGGCCGTGAGAGCGGATCTCACCGCCCTTCCGCACCATTGCTGCCTATGACTTTTTAAAGCCGCTGTTAGGAGAGGTTTTACGAATGTGGATGCCTGAAATACTCGGGCCAAAAGAAGCCCAGTCCCATCCCTCACCCATGTGCACGTGATCTGGAAATGCACATGGCTGAGAGACAAGACAAGGCAACATTTCTCCCACCTCGTCTCCCTAGAGGGGCCTGCCACCGTCAGCGCTTTCCTTGCTCCTCGTGGGGGACACGCTGTGGCTGATGTGAGTGTGCACGTTCTCTCCTTTGGTTTGTGTCTCACTTCCGGCCGGCGTAGACTGCTCTCCCCGTTTGGTTTCCTGGTCTTTCAGCTAGTGGTTTGAGCAGGGGGTGCTCGTGGCCGGGAGCCTGGCGTGCAGTGGTTACGTTCTCAGTTACATATCGGGTTGGAACCCGCCCCTCCGAGGGAGAAAAGCGGCAGTTGGCACCAGTGAAGATGACAGCCGTGGAGCCCCAGGGGGCCGCCCTGCTCTGTGCTGTAGGGTTGCTGTGAGTCCGCGTCGACTCACTGACTGGGGCTTTGGGGCTTTTTAATACTCACGGTGCAAAATTCAAACTGCATTAAGTATGTAAGCGCCCTCCCCTCTGTCTCAGACGGAGAACATCCCAGCCCCAGTCACCCCAAGGTCCAAGTCCTGTTTAATTCTTTTAAAAGCCACAGTATACCATGCAAGCAGTCAGTAAGTCTGAAGGAAGAAATATTAGTAACTCGAGCGAGTCATTTTGTTGTCTGCACTCTGAGAGGGAAGCGGAGAATCGTGTCCTTGGACTTCTCAGCAGCTAGAAGCACCCCTTTCCGTAGGGTTTCCTGAAGATAGCCATCTGGTGGTACCAGCCTCGGGACCCCTCAGGACGCTGCCTCAAGAGTCAGCAGGACCCAGTGAGCTCTGCCACCCCTCACAATGGCCCCTGGACCACCACGTCCACCCAAGGTGAGCAGGGCAGGGCGGGCTGCTCTGCTGTGCAGCAGTCAGGGCCCACCGCCCGTTTGCCCAGGGCCTTGTACCCGCCCCTCAGCCGCCAGCGCCATTGTTCACGGTGGTCGCATGCACATCTTCTCCTGACACACGTCACATGCAAATCATTAATGTATGTAAATCACATGTAAATCAAGGCTCTTTCAAACATTGCCATGAGCCCCAGCAGTGCAGGGTTAGGCCCATAGGTCAATGGTTTGGGCCACCCGGCTGCTTCTCCGGAGCCCGCTCCAGAGGCCCGTGCTTCCACAGAGAGGCACTACCTGGAGTCCCTGTGGGCAGTACTGCTGTGTCCTGTGGTCGCCAGGCGTTGGGGCCCTCCCAGTGGCAGTGGGCTCTCAGCCCTGGCGCCTGTCTCTTGGCAGGTGTTCCTGATCTCGTGCACGCAGACGTTCCCCTCCTCCACCTGGGGGATGTGGACATCTCCGAGGAGGCCACCTTGGTGGATCTGAAGGCCCAGGTCAGACTTCTTCCCGCATCTGGGTCAGTGCTAGTGTGGCCGCAGCCACTGAGATTAGCGTTTTCTTCTGTGCCCTCCATCCACCCCCAACCCCCACCCCCGGCTGCAGTCTGCTCAGACATGGCACGTGTACTGTGCGTGTCCAGGGGTGAGCAGAGCACAGGCATGCCGGACGGCCGTCACAGGGACCGCCGCCTGTGTTCATTGAGTTTTCAGGGGAACGTGATGTAGTGATGTGCTCGTACTTCCCTCCGTAGTTTCCCTAGTTTTGTCACTCGATTCTAAGCACATCTGTGCCTTCCTGGGGTGTCAGCTGTGTGAGGGCTGTGAGCTGGGTCCCCTCCCAGGGGAGCGTGCTGCCGAGCCTGCCCAGGGAAGCAGGACAGGAGACACCCAAAGACCTCTTGGCCGCGGCCGCTTTCCCTAGGGCTCTGGGTAGGAGCGAGCGGAGGGTTGGTGGCCATCTGAGACGGCTCCACCTGGCTCCAGTGCTGCCCTGGAGTTGGAAGTGAGGGCTGTGCTCTCCGTTCTTGGGAGCCAGACCAGCGCCGAGCGGGCAGGAAGGTGCCTCGGGCTGCGGTGTAGATGCAGTGGGTGGCTCCCAGCGGGGAGGTGCACAGGCCCAGCCCTGTCTCGAGAGTGTGGCTGGTTTTGCAGCCTGCTCAGTGTCTCCCTGGCTGTCACTGCATGTGCTGCCATGTCAGGCTGGGGGTGGCTCGCAGAACCGCCTTCCGCTCACATCCCCGTTTGCTGCTTTCCTAGGCCATGGCCTTGACCGCCTGCTGCGAGCTTGCTGTGCCGTCCCCAGCCTGCCTGCGAGCCTGGACCGTGGAGAGCCAGCGCCCGGGCAGGCTCTTACGGAATGGCCAGCAGCAGCTCAGGTACCTCCCAGCCTGCATGCCAGAGTGGGAACGTCAGGGACCCTGGAGTCAGACAGAACCAAACCAAACCCACTGCCGTCAAGTCGCGTCTGACTCATGGCAACCCTCTTGAGGGTTCCAAGGCTGTGAGTCTCTACAGAAGCAGACGGCCTCCCAGTGGGTTTGAACTGCCGACCTTGTGGTTAGTAGTCATTACAACGCTTGCCCCAAAGTACATCCGGGGCTCCTGGTGGGTAACAAAGTGCTGCCGCATGTAAGAGGTGGAGAGCTCCCCGGGAGAGTGTCAGTTATGCGCTGGGACAACTTCAGTACCCGTGTTAGGTCAGCGTGGCTCTGTGGCCCCCAAGTGACAAAGGTGATGGCTTTGGGTGGTTCTGCTGGAGAAGAAACCGTGAAACGGACCAGACGCAGCAGGGAGGGAGGAAGGGTGTCCACGCTCCCCTGGAGTATCTGTCTGTCTGTGTCTGACCAGGGCCTGCAGACTGGGAAGGAGACCGCAGATCTGCCTGGAGCCCCTGCAGGAGGAGGAGCACCTGGGGTGAGTGTGGCCCCGCCTCCACAGCCGCTTCTCCAGGCCGCGAGAGAGGGAAGGGTGCTCACCGAGGGTTGTCACCTGTTCCTGCAGTGCCTGCACCCTGAGAGCATGTGCTCCGTCTAGTTGTCCACTGTGGTCCCCAGTGTGTCCAGACACGCCTCAGTGTCAGTCCTAGGCTGGTACTCAGAACCAGAGAGTGGGTGACGGGACCCACCCATGATGCAAAGAAGGAACCACAGCTCCAGTACAGGTGGCCATTACGGAACTCCTGGGGCAGCTCACTCTGCCACACACCACCCGTCCGAGCCCAGCCAGCAGCACTAGCGGCATGCACCCCTGCCCCTGACATTCAATGGTTTGCTGATGGCAAAGAACACCCACAGCCCTCTGCAGTCCAGCTCTCCTGTCCCTCATCTCGCAAACTAGTCTCACATGTGGCCAACGGAGAGGATTTCCTCTCCCTGGTGTGTGGAGCCTCACCTCAAGGCCACCTCTCCTGTAGATTAGCTCCAGGACCCTTTATTAGCCACATCCAGGCTTCCCCGAGTCTGTGGTGTTTACATGAGTAGGGTCTCAAATGGAAGCCCTGCTGAATAGTGTTTACACGATGGCTGCTAACTGTAGGCTTAGCAGTTGGAACTCACCCGCTGCTCTGAGCGAGGACAGTAAGGCCCTCTGGGTCCAGGGAGACTTACAGGAAATCCATGGAAGGGCAGCTAGCTTTGTCCTGGGAGGCCAGAGAAGGCGAGGCGCACTGAGGGAGGACGGGACCCCTAAGGCAAGTGTGTTTCCCCAGAGAGGAGAACTAAGACCAGTGGCATGGTTTTGAAACCTCTTCAGAGAAATAGCTACGTCCTTTTCCCAGGGAGTTGCAGGAATGTGTGTCCTCCAAGCAGTGTCCGTGCACGTTTGCCTCATCTCCTCCTCAGACTGACGTTGACCATGATTGTGCAAGTGTTGGCTCATCCACACAAAGGCAGCGTGGCCATCTTCTTTGTTGCCCTTGGTTAGTGTGGGCACCTTCCAGGGTTCTCGGAGCCAGTGGCATTTTGAGTTTGTGCAGAGTAGGGGATTGTTCCATGCAGCTCCTTGTTTTTATGGTGAGATTTTAGAAAGCATCAGACCTTACATTTTGTGTGTGAGCTCTTATGATGATGATGATGAGCTGGGTTTGTTAGAGTGGTGGGCGCTGCCACCTCGCACACACACCCCAACACATACTGTTGTGTCCTGGGCCAGCTGCCCAGCCTGGCTACTGCCCTCTGTGAGCACACGGCCCCTCCTTTCCCAGCACCCACTGGGCATGGCCTGAGCATCTGTGCTGACCGCCTCTGTAGACCCCCACATGCCCACGCCCCCAGCACCCCCACACAGCGAATTCACACAGCTTCCTCTGACCACACCCCTTTCCCTCCTGTGCTCCAGCCCAACTCTCCACTCCACTCCCCTCCCCCTTTTTCCTGTCTCACCACCGCCATCCTTTCCATGGGCATTGCTTTTGTCAGAAATAATACCAAACTCGTCCCAAGAAGTTGGAGATTGAAAAAGTCCAACTCTTTCAAGAGGATCGTCTGCTCCACCCCTGAATCTGTTCCCTCCCGTCTCTGGGTTCTACGAGTGGCAGCAGTGGCCAACAGAACTCACCTCGTTCGAGGAAGACGTCTCAGACGTGGTGGAGGGTGCAGTTCAGTCCAAAGTCTGAAGGTCAGGCAGGGGTCAGCCAGGTCCTGGGGCCAAGGACCCCCTCCATTCCTGCTCTTGCTGGTGATGAGATCCCACCTGTGGGTGCCTTTTGTACGCAGCAGGACGGCCGCTCAAGGGTCCTGGTCACAGTTCCTCACAGGTGAATCCTGTCAGTATCTCCCCACCCTCTTACCAGACTCCTGCAGGGAAAGGAGGTTTGGCGGGGGTTACATAGTGCAGTCACATTCACCCAGACATGGTGGTTGACTCTTCTCCCCTGGACCGTACCTCACTGTGGGGATGTGACCTGCAGCCTTTGGCAAGATGTCCCCAGCAGGCATCGGTATCCGCCCTGCTGACCCTGATCAGCCAGCTCTTTCTCTCTGCTCCCAGCTGTAGCGTGTAAGTCAGAGAAACCAGGATCCGGTCAGAGAGTGGTCTGATTCACAACCACTACGAAGGTCAGAGCTCAGGCTGGCCCTGTTCTGCGTGTCAGCAGTGAATCCCATTCACACCCCAAAATGGCGTGTGAAATCCAGGACAGGCTGGGAAGGGCCGTAGTCACCGAGGGTCCTCACTCCCTACCCACGTGGGCTTCCAACGTGGCATCAACTTCCACCTAGGGAAGTGCCCTCCCCCCTCTCCTCGTCGGCAAGGTCCTGGATACATGCCCGTGGGATAGGTTCCCTCTGCTGTGTGCCCGCGTCTCTCGTCCAGCTCCTCAACCTGAGCCCGGCTGCCTCACAGAGCGCACCGGGCAAGTACAGGCCAGGGCCTGGGTGGCACTTGTATCCCCCCAGTGCGTGCGCCGCGCCACCCCCGGAGTGCTGCACGCGTCTTCAGAGCTCGGTTGCGCACTTGGCCACAGGCGGTGTCAGCCTGACTCCTGCGTACCCGAAATGAACACTCGTCTGACTGCATTGTGGTGGGGTCTGACACGACCCCCGCTTCTCCCTGTCTAGAGCAGCAGTTCTCAACCTGGGGGTCAAACGACCCTTTCACAGGGGTCATCTAAAACCATATTTCCGATGGTCTTAGGAACCGAGACACTGCTCCTCTATCCGTCTCCAGGCAAGTCCCCTCACATGCAGGTACGCCCACCTACAGGGTCACCACATGAGGAACCGTATCAAAGGGTGGCAGCATCAGGAAGGTTCAGGAGAACCACTGCTCTAGAGAACCATACTCCCAGAGCCCAGCCTGTCGTGCTGGCTGCGCAGGTCTGACTCCGCTCTTCTTGTCCCATTGGGCTGTGCCCCTGGCCCCAGGGACGGCTCTTCCCCCATCGGACAGAGTATGGAGCAAGAGTTTCCTACTCGCCCTCAGTACATAGGGAACCTTTCTCTGGAAAAACAAAAGTTGGGGCAGAAGCTTCCTCATACAGTCGTGTGTTTTACCTTCTGCCCGCCTGCACCTAATGGACCTTTCTGTCACAGCCCCCAGGACTTGGTGCTACGGACCCAAATGCGTCTCCCTGGCCAGAGGACCTACGGCCCACCGGTGGACATGGTGTGGGACATGGCCAGGGGCTGCACCGCGGCCTCCCTGAGGCAGAGTGTGGCCGACGTGTTCGCACTGCCCGTGGAGACGGTCGAGATTGCCAAGCACTTTCCTGAGAAGTTCGAGTGGACCCCCATCTCGAGCTGGGTAAAGCTGGGTGTTGCCAAGAGCTCTCGGCTTCCTGGTGTGGCCCTGCGGAGGGGGACATAGCCTGTGCGCAGGCCGGTGACGGGCTTGTCAGCAGAAGTTGTGGATAGTAGGATCCGGTGAACCACGATCTGTCACCGTCACAGGGACTGACCGACAAGAGCTGCAGGTCCAGTTTCCCTACTTAAGGCGTTTGGTTACTCCACAGAGCCAGCACGTCGCCAAGAGGAAAAAGAAGAAAAAGGAAGATAGTTTACAGGGAGCGCCTTTTTACCTGAGAGACGGCGACACTATTGGCGTGAAGGTAGATGGTTCACCACACATTCGTCCTCGCCCTGGGACAGGCCCCCAGGCTCGGGCAGGGTTTGGTATCACCAGGGGTTTCTGCAGGTTTTCACAGGGCAGATGGCCCTCGTGTCCCAGAGACTGGGGAAAGAGGGAAAGCCAGACAGCTCACTGTGGAGGGGGGAACATAACTGAGACCAGGCTGTCGTGTAAAACGCAAAGAACATTCTAGGTCCATTTCACATCCGATTGTTAACTGCAACATAGGAAATACTACCTGACCAAGGAGACTGGAATGCAGACCGCGGGGCCCAGACTGCAGCCTTCACCCCGACACAGCTGCCAGGGGCCTTGGTGCAGGGTCTGTCCCCACATCGAGGAGCGGACCGCAGGGCCCCTGCCCTGGCTGGCGCTCACCACGCCCGACGCTGCTCTGCTTGTTCGTAGTTGGTGCTTCATCTAGTTCAGGGCACGCACGCCCCTTGCCAGTGTTCATTTTTAAACGCGTCTCTGGAAGTAGGGTAGAAATGCCACCTGACAAGCTCGCTCATGGAGCCTTTGGCCTGCAGAACCTGCTGGTAGACCAGGATGAGGACTTCGGCACTCTGGGAGACGACCTTGGGAAGGAGCGGCAGAGAGAAGCGGCCCTCAGGAGGAGAAAGAGGTAGTGCCTGGCTCCAGAGGCCGCCAGGCCTCCAGGGGGCACCTTGCCCTCACCATCCCATCCAGGAAGCCCCCGGAGGTGGGGCTTGTGCACTGCGCTCAGCCCCGCCCCCACCCCACAGCTTTGGGTTTAGAGCTAAGGATAGCCAAAGGTGGTGGTGGTGGTGGGGGGCAGCCTCTCCCCCTTCTCTGAGCCTTACCTTTCAGATACCAGCCCCCAGGGGTCTGGCAGGGATCCCTGCTCCTCTCCCTTCCCGACAGTTCCACCCATCCTCCTGTTAGGGCCTTTCCTCTGTCCACCTGCAGGTGGGGACGTGCAAGCGTGCACCGTCGGTGTGCAACGTAGAAGGGAAGTGCTGTAACACTGCCTCTGGCAGATGCTGAGCCTGGGGCCCTAACAGGGATTTCTTGGGGCTCTCAAAACACTGGTCAGAATTGCCCACCCACCTGTGCACAATTCTGGGTGGCTGCCCCTCGGTGACGGCGTCCCTGTGTCCCCACAGCCGAGAAGCCCTTCGTGCGCAGAGCAGCGATGTGTTGGCCAGCACAGAGACACCCGCCCGGCCCTGGGGACCAGAAACCCCTCTCTCCATCCGCGTGGGCAGTTTCAGATAGCACTGGCCACAGCCGCCTCCCGGGACTCATCCAGGTGGCTGCTCACCTGTCTCAGGGTCTCACCTTTCAGCCAGCAGAGCCCTGAGGTGGGTGCTCTCCCCCCGTCTTTCAAGATGAACCCACCGATCCCTGACGGCAGTTCTTGGGGCCTGCTGTGCTGTTTGCTGAGTAGATGCAGATCCCAAATCCCTGGCCCTAGCACCAATAGGGGCGCTTGACGCCAGTAAGGTCCACACCCTGTCCGACCGCTGCTGTGCCAGCCACATGCCAATCAGATGTCCGCCTGGCACTCCGTGGACCCTGCCCCTTGTCAGGAAAGGCGCTGCCGTGCCTCAGCAAGTACAGGCTCACCAACGGTGTGTGGTGTCGAGCCTGCGTGTGTGCAGCCTGCGTTGCCCTCACAGGGTCCTGCCCAGGCCCTCCTGTAACGTGAGGGGGCTGTCCCTGGCCTGCTCGCTGCTCCCATGCCCACCCCACCCCACCCCACCCCACCCCCGGGGCTGGGTTTCTAAAGTGCTGTCACCCTGGAGTGAGGTCTCAGCGGCTCAGAGAAACTGCTGACAGAAGGCAGCCTCTGGGTCCCCTCCCATGGGGGGGGCCTTAGGGAGGGCCGCTGAGGAAAAGGCTCCACAGAGTCGCTGCCTCATTGCCAAGCCAGCTGGTGGGATGTTGCTGGGCCTGCGACGGGCCTGTGTGCGCAGCTTCCTGAGAGGAGGCCCAGATGGTCGGCCTTTCCAAACCTGCCCCGTGGACAGACGGACAGCAGGGTTCTAGAAACCCAGCACCTTCCTACCCACCTTAGCTCAGGGGCTGAGATGCTACCTCTGCTTAGAGTTCTGACGGGACACACTTCTCGCGTCTGTCATCACTGGGAGGGAGTCCAAGGGTGGGGGGAGACCGTGAGACTCGAGTGTCACAGCCTGCCATCACGAGTAGGCACCTGTGTCATCACTCGTGCCCCAGTCCTCTGCCCCGCCCACTTCTGAGAGAGGCTGTCAGGAACTGTCCCTGGTGAGGTCATCACATTGTAAGAAGCTGGGCCTTGACCAGCAAGCTGCTCCCAGCGTCTCACACACTAGACCAGCCTCAGGGCGCCTGATCAGAGCTGTGCCCACTGCCCTCCTTCCCTCCGCTCTACCTGTGGCATGGCCACCCTTCCCTTCGTCGCAGGTGGTGGAGATTGAACCCAAAGCCAGGCTTGCTGGCCGGCTCTGCTGGGGCAAGCCCATGCTCCTAGACGTGCCTTAACGTGGCGGCCAGCTGGGCGGGGACAAGGGGCAGTCTGCGGAGGTGGCCTCAGCTGGCTGTCTTGGTTTTTCTTTCTTTTTGAGGAGAGAGGGAGGGGACACAGGGAGAGAACTGTGAGCTTTTGTTTAACAATAAACTTTTTCACACTGCAGCCCATTGCCTGTTCTGCTTGCTCAGCACCTTCCCCTCAAGAGAAACCCTGGTGGCTGGTTCCCAAGCAGGGTCCCCCGACTCCATCAACAGGGCTTATATTTAGAAATACTGTATCAGCTGAGAAAGAACAGAAGTATGTTTTGGTTTTAAATAAATCCAGGCTCGTGGGAAAAAATCTGCTGGAAGGAATTGTGGAAGTGGTCTGTACCACACTCCCTTCTAAGGAAGCAGGACCGGCAGTGTTGACCTGGTTACGGAAAACAACACATCCAATAAAGTAATAGATGGGTGATGGGTTTTGCAAGCCAAAAAGAAACGGCAGCTAGATCCCGTTCATCCAAAATTGGAGCCACATGAGATGGGGGAGGTAGGTTGCCAACAGCTCATGGGAAAGGGATGAAAGGACAGAGCCCTCCCCCGTGCCCTGAGCTTTGTTCCCACTGTTGTGAGATTGCACCCAGCAGCCCCCTAAGGTGCAAGCCAGCCAGTCTCTCCTGACCTAGCTCTCTGTTGTCAGACCTCGGTGGAGCAGAGGACAGGGACACCTGCTTCAGGCACCCCCGCCCCCAAAAAGCCAGGGGCTGCCAGCAGCTTCAGCTCTGGGGAGGGGCGACCTGCCCACCCCCATTTAGTGGGTAGGAGAGGGGAGGATGGGAAGGCATGGTTTCTAAAGGGAAACCAGGTGCCCTGACCAAAGCAGAAGAGGTACTAGGGCACCATGCCTGTCCTGTGCCCCTTTCCCCCACCACTTCACAGCACCTGGGCTACCAGCAACCTGGCCACGAGCAAGGCAGTTCGGGACAGGGTCCAGCTGCTCAGGGCCACCAGCAAGCAGCTCTCCCCAGCCAGGGTACAGAGGGTGGGGCGAGCCCAATCTGCTCAGAAGAGGGGCCATGAGCTCATGGCCTTGCCCAGCTCCACTGGAGGTTTGAGGTGGACTCTAAGGATCAGGGGCCTGGACCCCGGGGATGAGTCATCTGCCCACTGGCAACTGCTGACAACAGTTTCCTAGAACGTGCAGGCAGCCTGCTGTTGGGTCCCCCTGGCAGGATGGAGCAAGAATGCCTTAGCGCCCCATGGCAAGGGGGAGCCTTCTGCCCTGCTCTGCCACCTGCCTGGGCCAGCCAGACCAAGCCATAGCACTCGCAGCTCCCCCTCACATCTGCCCAGGGCCTGGGGTGCTCCCTCCCCAGCTTCCAGAGGGCTCCCAGCCACACGCTGCCTCTAGTGTCGGGAGACCTCTTAATAAAACGATCGGAGGAGATGACCCATTGAGCACAGGATGGGTGGGGGTATAGCTCTGCCACCATGTGGGGCAACTGGCCCCTCTGGAGGTAGAGCCAGGCAGACACTGCATCCTGGCCCAAGGCTGTCCTGCCTGCCCAGGTCACATCCGACTGGTTCCTGGGTCTTGAAAGAGACCCCTGCCCCCGCTCAGACATTTGGACGTGATGCCTGCGGGGCTGTGCCTCACAGGACCACGAGAGGCGTGAGGTCCCAACATACATGGCCTGGGGGTGGGGTGGGGGTGAGAACGGACCTCAAAACAGTACCCCACTGCTTTGCATTCTGACTCACGGCGCCCTCAGTCAGCCCCAACTCACTGATGCCAGGGGGTAGAGTGGAACTGCCCCTATGGGGTCCAGCGGCTCTGAATCTGCAGGAGTACGGAAAGCCTCTGCTTTCCCCCTCAGGCTAGTGGGTTTGAACTCCCAACCTTGGGGTTAGCCGGATGAGTAACCCAATACACCGAGCCCGAAGGACTGGTACCTACCCCACACAGTTTCCCAGGCTGCTCTCCACCTCCCCCACCCGGAGCAGGAAGGCTCCTGAAGGCACACCCACACCAGGACCACACGGGCGCCCGTGCCAGCCTGCTGTTGGCTCCTGGGACCCAGCCCAGCCCTCACCCCAGGAATCGACGGGGGTGGGGGTGAGGTGAATGATGACAAAGGACCGTGATCTCAGTGTGGTGGCTTCCTTGAAGTCTAGAGGGCGTGGTGGCTGCACCTCGGGCTGGCAGCTGTGTGGAAGGGTGAGATCTCGCCCTGGGAGCCCACAGCTCTCTCACTCGCTCAGCCCACCTCCCCCCCTCCTCACAGAACGAACGCAGCTGCTTCCAACAGTGCCCGTGGAGTACGGTGGCAACAGGCTCTCCCGGTCCCCAGCCAACAACTAAGTTATTTTTGGAACGGCTGGAAAACACGAACAACTAAGTTATTTTTGGAGCGGCTGGAAAACACGTCTGAACCAGGCTTGGAGAGATTTTTGGCGAACGGGACTTTCTGTCAAAGCACGAGGCATGATGAGGTGACTCTGACTGTTTTCTTTATTCACAGAAGATGTATGTACAGCGATCAGAGGTCGGCTATGTACATAATCTACAAGTGGCATCTCTTCCACGGGATCGCGGTATAAATTAGGATTATAAATACGATGGGCAGGTCCCAGCCTGGGGCACCATGGTTCACCCACCCGTGCTGGGCCCTACAGCAGAGGTGCCCTCGGGCAGGCAGGTTCCCACCACCCAGACGTCTCCTCATTCTGACTGACGGGAACTGGGGCAGGTTTCCATACTGATGACACAGGCCGAGTTCTGATGACGCCCTGGGCTCCAGCCATGGCTTCCCCCCAGAGGAGGCCATCTGGGACTTACCCTCACACACAGCGGCCTGCTCAAGGGCGGAGGACCCCAGGAGCAGCAGCCCCCCCACCCCACCCTCTGGCTGGTACCATTACCTCCTCTGTTATCCTAAAAAGGAACTGAGTCGGGGAGTAGTTCTGGGGAAACTGGGAATTTCTCCTCAAACCCCCTCCAACTACAATCATTGTGGTGACGGGAACAGGGTGCCCAGAGTAGAAAGATGGCATGCAGCTGTCCCACCCCACCCCCCTTACCAGCCAGGGCAGGGGGGGGAGGGTACAGCCACCACTCAGTCCTTCCAGTCCGAGCAAGGAGGGGATGGGTCCACCTCACCCAGAGCCCAGCCCTGGGGAGGGGAGCCATCATGGGTGCCCCTTCCACCCTGCAAGCCCTGATGGAAGGGTGTCCTGGGGGGTCCACAGAAACACTGCCTACTGTTACCACCTGCACCCTCACCCCGCCCCTCTGCAAAGTGGGGTGACCCAGGCCAGGGCTCTGCTGAAGGGAAGCTCCTTTCCAGGATGAACCCTGAGCCCCTGGCAGTGACCACCCTCAGCAAAGGCGAGAAACAGTGACCGGGACCTGTGGCCTTAGCCCCTCCTGCCCCCACGTCAGCCCAGTCCAGCCTGTGGCCCCTGGCCTGGTCTGGTTGTCCAGGTTTCTGAGGGGGTGCTCGGCATCTGCATGGCTGTCACCAAGGTCGGCCAGGGTCGGCGACTAGAACCCCCTGGCCACCAGCAGCCAGCACCCCAGGACCTTCTGCACAGAAACGCAGGTGAGGGCGGGGAGACACTGCCCCCAGAAAACCTCGGGGTGAGGGGACTAGGGACAGAGCCACCGGCAGATGGGGGGTGGGGGGTTACACGGTCACCAGCAGACCTCAGGAGTGGGGGTTCTCTTCATTCCAGGAGCAGTTAGCAATCAGGGACATCGTTCATGGGTGCCGGGCATGCAGCCGGTGGCCTTGGTTGGGGTCAGCCCTGTGGCATGGCCGGGGGCAGTAGCACCATGGTGACAGCGTCAGTCACGGACACGCAGCACACAGGCTGCCAGCGTGGCCCCTAGGCCTCGGCGCCCCGGCTCAGCTCCTTGATGCCACACAGGATCCGCTTCACGTGGCCCACCTTGGTCACGCCCAGGTCCTGGGGGAGAGAGGGCAGCCATGGACGCGGGCACTGCCCCTCAAGCACGGGGCCCCCAATGAGCTCTGTGCCCCCACAGGCCCCCTGCTTGCCAGCGGGGCCCATGGTGCTGCCAGCAGCAGCCACCTCTGGCTTGACACAGCACGCCCACCCTCCTTCGACGGTTCTGTGAACCTGCGAGGTGGCCGGCTCACCGTGGTCACCCCAAAGCCCAGACTCCACAGCGAGGCTGCGGGCTGGCAACACGGACTCCGCAGGCCCGGGACGCGGTGGGAGGATGTGCACCGGGGGCTCAGCTCACCCTCAGCGGGATTTTAAATGGTAGATCACGAGGCTGTCCAGTGACTACATGACACGCTAGTTTCCTGCGCGCACACTGGACCCTCACCCACTGCTCTCCTGCACTCTGCTCAGGGCTTTTTTATTTCAGGGGGCAAGCGCTATGTGAGACGCAGAGGAAACTCTCATCTTGTCTCTGAGGGTGTGTGGGTGTATGTGTGTGCGCACAGGCACGTGGGTCCTCCTGGCTGCTTGTAGCCGGCAGGGCGGCACCAGCATGCGCCCAAGGCCAGAGAGGACATGGCGGGTGGGAGAGGGGAGCAGACGGCTGTCCGAACAGGGACCCAGTACCTTGAGGTCCCTGCGCTCCAGGTGCAGGAGCTCGGAGCCCCGGATGTCGTGCCGTGTGAAGATGTCCTTGTACTCACAGAGACTGAGGTGCTCCAGCCAGGCGGCCACCTCCTCTGTCCCCCAGAGGTGCACTATCAGGGATGGAAAGCGGGGTGCAGTGAGCGCCAGCCCGAGCCCACAGCACAGCCCACCACCGGCCAGGCCAGAGGAAGGAGGTGGCGGCTCAGCGCTACGGGATGGGATGCGGGCAGAGCAGAAGCAGGGTCGTTCCTGCCAGGCCGGTCTTTCCCAGCGACCGTTTTCCGAGGCACCCCCACATAAGGGGCCTCCCTCTGGGGCCATGGCAGGAAGGAGACATGCAGGACAAAGACCTGGTGCTGTCGCAGCCACAATCGTGAACGGAAGCCCGATTTCCCATCCCACGAGCTGAGAAAAATCAACGTGGGCCTGCCCTTAGGGACGGCCAGTATCCGTCACCTCGAGTCTGGGCTGCAGACAGCTCAGCACCCAGGGCCAACTCTCGGAGGGAGACAGAAGCTCCCTCTGGGTACCCACAAAGAGGGATCGAGCCCTCGGCAGGTCCCTCCACAGGATTTCTCCACCCACCATCACCAACGCCCTGGCCTCTGGCCAGCAACCTGATTGATGCATTGATTAGACACGAGCCAGCAGCCCACATGCAGGCCAAGTGGCAGGTCTTGGCTGGCGGCCTGAGTCCGGAGTGTTTCTGTCTCCTTGGTTGTCCCTGTCGCCTCTGTCCCCACCACCCATCGCACCCTCAGGCCAGAGGGACAGCTACGAGGGCTGGTGCCAGGGCAGAGCGAGGCCTGGACGGGTCAGGAGCTTCGGGAACTGAGTACAGGCGTAGTAAGCCTGGGAGAGGGATGGGGGCTGGAGCCGGCTGGGTCAAGGGGGGAGCAGCCAGGAGGCCGGCAGGAGGGGCAGGTACCGGGGGCTCCCAAGCTGCTGCGAGCCGCCTTGTTCTTGTTGTTCTTCTCCTTCTTGAACTTGGTCACCAGGCGGAACTTGCCACTGCGGCTGCGCTTGGACGGATCCAGCATCAGGCTCTGTGGGGGAAGCAAGGCTGAGACCGCCGCACGCACGGCTCCCACCACCTCGGTGGGAGGCGTCCAGGAAGGGGCGCCTTGCCTGGTCAAACCAGCCTGGACTCACTCACTCTTGAATGCATTCATGCGTAATGCTCATTCGAAGTCATGTGGCACGTACCCTCCCTCACTGCCGCTGTGCGGACACTGATGCGTAGTGACCCTGTGGGGCAGTGTGGGCTTCTGAGGCCGTCACTCCATCCGGGAGTAAAAGGCCTGTCTTTCTCCCATGGAGCAGCTGGTGGTCCTGAACTTCTGACCCTGCAGCCTGCACCCCAACTTGTAATCACCACTAGGCCCCCGGGGTTCCCACGCGTCCTACGGTGTCCTTTCAGTTTCCGTGTTCATCATAAAAGCGGTACCTTGCTCGTGGGATTAAACCTGTTGTAAATGTGTCCTAAGTATCGGCAGGACGCTCCTGGTCAGATGGGGCAGCCCCTGGGACACTTCTCGAGGCACCGACCCAGAACGCTGGGGCAAGGTGGGGTCTGTCACGACGCGCCGTGCATGGTCATGCGAAGACAGCCCTTTGGCCAATCTGCAGGGCTGAATTGCTATGCCCATCTATAATTCGCACAATGACCACCTCTCTAAAGGAAGCCTGGCCCTAGCATGGGAGAACAGAATGCGGGAGAGAGGGGAGTCTAATTTGAGAACCGTCACCGCCAAATGTCCCTTCGAAGACCACACTATCAAGGAACGCGCGTGCGCACGCCCACACCCCTGCCTGCACCTGTCCACGTGTCGCCTCCCCCAGCACCACCAAGTCCGTTCTGACCACCGCCACGCCACAGCACCCGACTCGTGACGGGAGGGGGAAGCTTTGTCTGTCTCCCGTGTTAAAACACCAAGTATATGATCTCCTGCTTTCCCAGTGCTGGGGGCTGACCGAGATTCCGACCTGGGGACCCACCCGACTTCACGTTGGTCCACCTTAGGCTAACGTTGTATTTATTGCTTGCTTACCTGACAGGATGCTTTGTCACAATGGGGGGGCGGGGAGGAGGGGGCAAACTCCCTAAGGATTTTACTGGAATGGCACCGGACCTACAGTTAGTAAACAGTCCTGTTTCTAGATGGGAAGACCGCTCCCAGGCCACACCAGTATGAATGTGATAGTTAAGGTCTACTCTGATGCTTTCTAATCCCACCTGGACGCCAGAAATGTCACAAAGTTATAAATGTGCTCTGAGACCAGAGGTATGGAAAATCACTGCCCTAGCTCTGAATCCAGCCACTTTAAAAGGATTAAAACTTTAGCTTATCCTAAATCTTCTTCTCCGCCTTCCTTCGAGCCTGCGACTCAGGAGTCTCACGACGTGTGACTTCTCTGAAGACAGGCGGCGGCGCCAAGAGTGTGGGTCGTGGAAGAACGTCTCTCGGGAAACGTGTACCAAGGTGTCTTGGGGAAATACTCACGTGGAGTGCACCACGGAGACTGTATAGGTACATATTTCAGAAAACTGCTCGTAGGTTAACTCCAAGAAGTGTGTTCAAAGATAAGAAATTGAAAAAGAGAAAAAAAAGATAGGAAATTGTAGTTTGCTGTTATCTTGTACACCCAGGCCCCCGATTGTGCTTGTGTGTTCGCATCCGCTGTGCTAACAGAACGAGAGATGCTGCGTGGTTTAGAACCAGGAACGTCGTGCGGCAGAGCTGTGCCCTCACCGCACTGTGTGATCCGCATGCTGAAGGGTCAGCAGGGGGGCTGGATGACATGACCAGCGCAGCATCAGGGCTGAAGGAAGCATGAACAACTTGCTCGCTGAACGTGAGGGCTTGAAGCACTTACAGAGGGCGACCCAGGACCGCAGCGCAGTGTCAGGAAGACCAGAATCCTCACAACCAGATCAATACGTAACAACAGATAGTGGAGAAAAAGTTGAAGCGGTCAGGGATTTTGCCTTGCTTGGATCCACGATCAGTGCTCATGGAAGCAGCAGTCAGGAGATCAAAAGACTTGTTGCATTAGGTACATCTGCTGCACAGACCTCTTTAGAGTGTTGAGCAAGGAGGTCACTGTGAGGAGGACTGAGGTCGCCTCCACTGCTTGCTCTGCAGGTGGAAGCTGACACTGGAGACGGAAGGCCCTGCCAGAGCAGACGTGCTGCAGAAAAACACTGACAACACGAGGCAGGTGTGCATTAGAAGTACGGCCAGAGCGCTCCTTAGCAGCAAGGATGGCAGGGCTTCTTCTTACAGGCTTTGGACAGGTGGTCAGGAGAGACCAGTCCCTGGAGGACATCGTGTGTGGTCGAGTGAGGAGGTGGTGAAAAGGAGGGAGGCCCTGGACAAGATGGACTGGTGTGGTGGCTGCATCAATAGGCTCAGGCCCAAGACTAAGGGTGAAGCTGGCACAAGGCTGTGCAGCGCTTGGTCCTGTTGGGTAAAGGGTCGAGATGGGTCGGAGCCAACTCAATAGCACCCAGCAACGGCATCCCACCCCGTCTCTGTGAAGAACTCGCTGCTAGTTCAGAACATCGGAGCACAGACTTTCACTTGGTGGACTCTGCTTTCCCGGTTAAAACTGTGTCTCCTCTTCCATCCGGGCGAAAGGGGTAGCTCTACCCCGTCCCATAGGTGGAGACAGCACCGGCTCGGTGGCAAGGTTGCTGTTGGGTTGCTCTCAGGACACCGCTTTGTCCCTCTTAACAAAGTAGCGAAAATTTCTTCTGTGACATGTCTGGTGTCAGAAATGGGATTCACAGGTACCCAGCCTGTTGGAATCACCATTCCCTGTGAGACATTCCTGAGGACAAGCCACATGGAGCTGTTAGAGCCCTGGAGCTGGAGGAGCCATGTGGAGACCCCTGAGACAGTGCTGAAATGCCTCTACTGCCACTGGATCCACAAGACTTTGCCTGTGATCTTCCTGCACTCGGTGTCGATGCATGTGCTGTGTGAGTCTGAAAAGGGCTTTATAGACTGGTATTGGACGTATGGACTTGGTCTGGACTGGGCTGGGCTGTCTTCTCAATATTCAACTGATCCTGTATGTTAAGTCCTGTCATTATATACGCAGATGAGTGTCTATGAATTTGTCTCTCTAGTCTAACCAGACTAACACACTCCTTTTTCCGGCAGGGATGTTTCGGGAAAACCTGTGCAGATTGTAACAGATTTCCCAATACTGCTTTGGGGTTGTTTGCATCTTTTTCCCCTTCTGTATCATGGAAACAGGATTTCTCTTTTTATTTTTGTAAAGCACAATGAGTTTGACTTCGTCTCCAAAACATGAGATGCCACACATGTGAAACGCATCAGTCTACCCTGCAAATATGAGAACAGTGAGAGGTCTCACACAGCGGTCATCATGGACGCCTGAGTGACCGTGCTGGCACCCTGCCAGTCCTTCCTGGGGCCGAGGACCAAGGAAGAGCGAGGGAAACGGGTTTCTAGTCTACTCTGGACCTGCCTTGAAAAAGCAACTGTAGATGCTTGGTGCTCCCTTCTGGGATCACTGGTTTAAAATGTAAGCTCATCGGCCAAAGGGAGAGGCCACAGTGAAGAGATCAAAAGTACTCACATGGCTGTCACCACTGCTGTCGTGGAGCTGAAAGCCCTCTCAGACTACCTCCGCTCTCTTGGAGACCAACAATGGGAGCTATTCCGGCTTGCTGATCAAGAACTTTACACTTTATAAATCAGCTTTGGAAAACTTCTAGAAGTATCGATAATTGGCTCAGATGGGAGGAACCGCGACATGGAAAAGGGAAGGCAGTCGTCAGGGTTCCGTACTTCCCTGTGGAGTAGGCCAGGCCGGGAGCCACTCTGGCCAGATATCCAGTGTTCCTGTGCTGTGTGTCATACAGGGGTCAAGACCAAATGACTGAGACAATGAAAAAATTAGTGGGGACAAATGTTTGAGGGCACATGACATGTTGCCAATTACTGGCTCACTGGCCCCCTCGACAATCCTAGAGAACAAGGTCAAGTCCAATTCTGACAACCTCTGCTACCAGCTGGTCCCAGGCTCAAACGGCAACCAGGCTTTCCATGGCTCCTTCCCTGTAACAGTATAACTAGGGACTCAAGACCTACTATGGATCGTCACGGTCCCCTGCCACCATGCCACTCCTGGAAAATACACCAAGAGAACCAGAGACGTTCCGTGGCAACCGAGGAGCCCATTTTACCAATCAGATTGTTCAAGAGCCATGCCAAGTGGTGCCCACTCAGCCATCACCCGCCGGGTTCTGGTTTGGTGGAAAGGAACACTGCAGTAATCAAAACGCAGCCTGCAAACTCGGACTGAAGTCCTCTGAGATCTATCCCCAGTGGAACCCCACAAAGAACTCTCCATGAAGCCATCACTGGATGACCCGCGGCTCTCCCATATGCCGGCTGCGCTGACCACAACACGGTACATGCCTGTCAATCCTGAGCACTCTGCCGCGTGCTTGCTAGTAATGTGCTCTGAAAACACGCAGCCCCATGCATGTGACATTCAGGGGCTCGGCAACCAGCTGGTCTGTGGCCCACCCTAACCCGTGAGTGGCTGGCGCAGTGACCTACACTGCCATCAGTGGGCCAGGTGACCCCAGGCCCCAGAGGGGCAGTTCCTTGGGGTGAAGGGCAGGGACCCTTGTGTGCGTTTTCTCCAGGGTGTCCGTCAGTGCGTGCGCTCCCGTGTCCTCGGGCCAGTAAGAGCTCTCAGGGTGCCCGAGTCCTCGTGTGAGCAGGGCAGAGTAACGGGGACCAGGTATCCCGACTGTGGCCCCTGCTCACTCACGCGCTCTCCCTTCCTTCACCCCTTCTCTCAGCCGGCCTCTGGGCTCTCACGGCTGGAGTGGAACCTGTCCCAAGGGCTAAAACACGCATGGCTGAAGATTGAATGTCCTTCGATGCGGCGTGTTGGGGACACCTTGGAAACTAAGAAGGTCCCTGCCAGCACGTGCTCGGTGTGCCCTTTGAGGGCCTCCAGACTCGACGGCAGAGGTGGGGGCACAGGCCCAAGGGGCACATCCGACTGGTTGTGAGGACAAGGGGCACACAGGCTTTGAAATGTGCTCACGTTTCCGAGAAGGGAAAGAGGGTGGCTTACGTCAAGGCAGCCTATGTGTTGCACCAGGCGGGCAGAGTGTGCCTGGGGTGGTGGGTCCCCTCCTTCTGGGCCACAGGCAGGCAGAGCTGGGCCCACTGCTGGGTGGAGTTACCACTCCAGAGCAAATGAAACCACTGCGGAGGGTCTGACAGGAGCGCTGCCCCAGGGGGCCACGTACCTCTTCCTCCCCGGGCGCTGGGGACGGGCAGAGCCAGGGCGTGTCGGCCAGTTTCGTGAGCTGCAGGTCCATCTCGGCCAGAGCTGCCGCCAAGCGCTCCTTCTGAGGGGCATCCAGCTGCTGCCAGAGGTGAGAGAGGGGCAGCTGCTCACGGGCAAGTTGTCGCCAGGCCCGCAGACAGGTCTCCTTCTGGGGCAGAGCTTCTAGGGAAACCCTACGGGGCTTCATCTGTCTTGGCCCAAGACCACGTACCCAGCTGGCTCCCAGGATGCCGGCAGGGCACCAAGGTGTGGGAAGCAGCAGGGACGAGGCGTCTGGAGACTGGATCTGGGGGTGTCCCCGCTCGGGGCCTTGAGGAGTCCCCTCCCTTCTCAGGCCTCTCACTGGGCTGGCTCTGCCATCCTGCCTCACTGGGTCGGCCTCGTAGACGGTGGGCAGGGGGTTGGACCGCGAGGCTGAGAGCGAGGTGGGCCTGCTGCCACCCACACCTAAAACTCCTAGTCTGCCCAGTGACCAGGCCATGCCAGCCAGCAAAGGCTTCTAGCAGCCAGGAGAGCTTTGGACCAGGTGGCCCTCCAGGGACCCCCCTCCCCCCACGGGCTGTAGCCCCCTGGGCCCCACAACGACTGTCCTACCAAGGCCACCTTCCCGGCCAGCAGCAGCTCCGTCTCACTGCGCAGCGCCTTCACGGAGCTCACCATCTCCAGGACGGAGCTGCAGTTCAGCCCCTACGAGGACAGGGCACAGGCGTGGAGCGGCAGGCAGCCCAGGGTGGGGGCACTGGGGGAGGGGCTGCAGGCCGCTTACCTCTGTGGCTCGGGGTCTGCCGTAGACACGGTCCATGGCCTTGGCACTGGCATTGACCGCGTGGGCCAGCTCCTGCTCCATGTCCTGGTAGGACTGCGCGATGTCCCGGATGCTGGGGAGAGGGGACACGCTGACACTCAGGCAGCTGGGCCCTCGGACATGGGCCCAGAGACCACAGCCTGACCCCCGGCAGGCACGTCAGCAGAAAAGGTCGTTTGTTCTAGGATGTCTGCCAGGTGACACAAGCCAGACACAGCCTGTGCACACCAAGGGCTCAGGGGCCCAGCCACGGGCAGTGGGGCCAGCCGCAAAGGCACCCACGTGCCAAAACCTGCCCAGCTCCCAGCGGCCTGGCAGGACAGAAGAGGGCTGTGCACAGAGCTCCTCAGCGGCACATTAGTGCAGGACGCAGACCCCCCAACAAACAGCTAGCAGCTTCCAACCACAGGCCTTGCAGCTGAGCACTGACCCATGGTACCACAAGGTCTCCCTAGGGGGCCAAGGGTCCTCCCTGGATGGACCCAGCCCTCCCCAGTCATCAACGTAACCCAGGGCTGCCTTTAGCACTCTAGCACTCGGCTGTCAGCTAAGAGTTGCAGGCTCAAACCCACTCACAGGCACCTCGGAAGAGAGGCCTGGTGACCTACTAGGGAAGGGCAGCCATGGTGAGCCCATGGGGCACTCAGGGTGGAGTCACTCTCAGGCGCCTGGCTCTTTAATAAGCAAGCGCGGAGCGGGGCACACAGAGAGGCAAAGTGAAGGGGCACCGCCCGGGGAGTGCCTCTGACACTCTCAGGGGAGTGACCACGTGTGAGAGAGGACAGAACAGAGGAAGCAGCCCAGGTGTGCAGATTCCCCGGGACCTGTCAGCCTGAGTGCAGCCCACATCCCAGAGCCCCTGTGCCTGAACCCCCAAACAGAGCCTGAACCCCAGAATAAGAGTCGCAGGCCCAGTCTGCACAGGGGCTCATATCCACTTGGGGACGAGGACCCTCCCAACCTGAACACCAGCTCCAGCCCAGAACCACGGGGCCCAGGCTGCGCAGGGCAGAGCCCACCTACCTATGGATGAGGGCTCCCGCTGCCTGGCCAAACTGGCTCATCTGGGTGGCCTCCTCCTCAGACAGGACCTCGGGGTGCAGTGAGAAAGAGGGGGGCCGCGGCAGCTCACACTTTTGCTTGTCCTCCCAAGACTTCAGGGTGCTCTCAAAGGCCTGGGGTGGGTGGAGCTCGGGGTTACTCTGGAGAAGGCACGCTGCAGGTGGCACCCAGCGACTGAGGGGGATGGGGGGTGGTGGTGGAACAGTCTGGAAGGCACTACCCGGCTGCTGCATCTCAAAGGAAAGCCCAGAGCACAGCTGTTCTTCTTTGGAAAAGGGGGTGTGTGGTGTGAGTGTGTGTCTGCCCAGGGTCACCTGGGTCTGCACTACCACCTGAGGGGCCTCTCCAGGTCCGCTGCAAGGACCCCTGGGCAGCGGGAAAGCTTGGGTTAGTCTCATCCCCCCTGGAGTGACCTTGAACACCTGGACACCGTAACCCTTGGTCTGGTCACTGGGAGCCTCGACACCCAGCATAGCACCCACCCGGCCTCGGTCCGCCTTCTTTCTGTAAGGGCCCCGGGCGGGCAGAGGCCCCATGCTCCCAGTGCCCCAAAGAGCCCTGTAAGGTCCCAAACCCTAACCCCAGAACACTGCCCCCGGGGAAATGAACAAACAGCCCCTCTCCCACGCCCTGTGTCTCTCCTGAGAACTGTGGTACAGATGGGCCTGGGGACCGCGGCTGGGCTCGACTCCACCTTACAGTGGGGCCATGCACGCACGTTTGCTGGTTTCTACGTCCTCTACCTACGGTGCAGTGAGCGCTCTCGGAACCAGTGCCCAGCCTGGTGGGCATGACCAACTGACACGGGCACGCAGTAAGCGCCTGCTGTCGGAAGGAGGCTTACTGGACACAAAGACTCCCAGCCCCGGAGGGTGAGCAGACACACGGGAACCTCCAGGACAGGGTAGAACTGCCCCTGACACTCTGCAGGAGCAGGAAGCCTTGGCTTCTGCCCCTGGAACAGCTGGCTCCCCCAGCCGGCCCTCCGGCCATGACCCAGGATGTGGGAGCACAGGATGGAAGGGGCGCCTCCATCACAGTGGGGGGCGCGGGGGAATGGGATGGGGCTGGGTGCCCTCTTACCCTGTCCCTGGTGAGGGTCTGTGCCCGGTTCCTGTGGACGATGCGGATATAGCCCGGAGGCTGGACCCAGGCCTCCCCGTCCACCTGCACGGGGACGCCCTCCTCACCCAGGATGGAGATCTTCACCGTGCGGCACTGTGGACACAGCCAGCCCGCCACTGCAGTCAGGTGCCAGGGGAGGCACCTGACCGCACCCTGGGTCCCTCCCGCGCCAGGTCTAAGGCCCGGCCTCTACCTGGGCGATCCGGTGATGCTGCAGCTTAATCACCCGTGACACCGCCATCTGCATACTGCCGAACACAGCCACCACCTCCAGGATCTTGTCGTCGAAGGAGGGGGCGGCGAAGGTCTGCAAGGGAGGGGCCTGGCTGACCGCTGCTCCCCGCTCCCTCTTGCTGACCCCAACACAAGACCATCTCCCAACGTGACGGGCGGGGCCACAGGCTGTCCCAGCACAAACCCTCCTGTCACCTTGAGCAAGTGGCTTAGTTTCCCTGTTCCCTCATCTACAAGACGGGGTAATGTCGGCACATCCCCCCAGAGTTGTCAGGAAGGTAGCCTGGCACTGCGGCTGGCATCCAGCAGCTGTTAGGGATACTGGAAGCTGCTCCCAGGGTTAAGCCTGGCACATCCCACAGTTCCCAGAATGCATCACCACATCTTAGGGAACCCACAGGACCCCCCTGGATCAACTCCTAGGTGGCTCTGCACCTGCAGTCTGGGGATCTTCCATCCTCCAGGCCCCCTCCTGTACTGTTCCCTCTGCCAGGAACACCCTTCCCACTGGCCCTCTCTAGTTTTGTCCTTTCTCCTCCTGGGGAGATGAGGGCCCAAGGCCCCAGTGTGCCCCCAGCTGTTGGCAGGAAGGGGTCTGGCATGCTGAGAAGGGAGCCCCTCCCCAGTCCCAGGCCTGCCCCACCCCATCACCTCGCACATACGTCATCTTCCTTGGTGCCCCCCCAGAAGTTGGTCCCTCCGGCATAGCTGGGAATATTGAGGACAGCAATCCCCTGGAGACTGGGCAGCGGGATCGGGCGCCCATCGCACTGGGGGAGGAAGAAACCACCTCGTCACCAGTCGTCCTCCGGCAGGGCCGGGCGGGCCGCATCGCAGGGCTGGCTCACCTCCAGCAGGACCTTCTGCTCCAGGTTCCTATAGGTGCGGTGCAGCAGCTCTTTGGTGCCCAGGACCCCGTACCACATCATGTTCTTGGTCCGACTCCTAGAAGCACACAGCAGAGGAGGGCCGTGGGCCGCTGGCCGTGCCACTCGGACCTGGGCAGCCTCTGGTGCTGGTTCGGGGTGGCCCAGGCTCGCAGGGCAGCGAGCCTCACTGGAAACGACAGACTCCTGCTCGCAGAGGAGCACTGGCAGCCCGGCCCTTCCTCACTCTGAGACCCTGCAGGGCGGAGTAGAATCCCGAGGGGCTCCCAGGCACAATCCCCCGTCTTCCCGGGGCAGCATGGGGGGTTCAAACCACCACCTTCTGGTTTTCGGTGGAGTTGCTTTCACAGATGGGCACCCAGACCCAAAGGCCCCATCACTCCATGTGCTGCGCCGATGTGCCTCTCTGCCCCGCTGACCGAACAGAGCCCCCAAGAATGGCCCCTGGGTGCCCCTACCAGAGCTCTGCAGTGACCAGGCCTGCGGGCTGTCTTCCTCCTGTCCAGCCCCCCACCCCACCCCGAGAGAAATAGCTTCTCGAGGACCTGCACTCAGCGATACTACAGCTGCCCGCAGCTCCAACGGGCCTGGAAACAGGTACCCACCCTGCCTCTGCCCCTCTCAGTTATTTCTGCACTAAGCCCACTGCCCTCAGGGCGACCTCACAGAGCTGTTTCCCGAGCCGGAGGGAGGGAGGGAGGGCAGCAGCATGAATTCTCCTGCTGGACTTTCCGGTGTGTGTCTGTTGGTTTGCTTTTTCCTAGAAACTTCCACGTGCCCAGAGCTTTAACCACCTCTGTGCTGACTCCTGAGCCGCCCTGGGGTTTTTTTGGTGACCCCTGATGGAGGCAGGCAGGTGGGACAGAGCTCTTGCCCACAGGGACACCTCTGGCTCCTCGCCCAGGTCTGGTCGGCCTGGCCTTCTCCAGACTCCAGGCTAGTTCTCCTGGGAACATCAACATCTACAGTCCTCCGATGAGGAAGGAAAATAACACATCAGCCCAGAAGAGAGGACACTTCCATGTCCCTCAGTCCAGCGCCCAGGTGAGGGGCCACCTCGGCAAACTCCCTCAGTGCTCTGCGTGGGATCCCCTTAGCCAGAGTCACCAGCGCTACCTGGGGTTGGGGCGGCAGGCTCTGAGTCGGGGCTGGGGAGACTTCCAGAACCCCCAGGCCGGGTGTAGTCACACTTTGGCCAAGTCTTACACGGCCACACACACTCTCTAAGGCCCCCCTGTTCCGCCCAGTGACAGCAGGGGTGAACTTGGTGCCACCTGGCGGGAGTCCTTCCAGGCTGGCTTCTCGGACTGTGGCCTGCTTCACCCCCGCGCCATCCCTGGGAAAAACCAGCCCCTCCCCGCTTGGTGACGACAGGCCTTACAGGCGGCCTCATCCCACAGCCCGGCTCACTGCCCAGCCCAGGCCGCCGCCCAGGGGCCCACCTGCACTTCTCGGGGTGCTCGTCACGCTTGTTGTTGAAGTCCAGGGAGATCTTGGCATCCAGGCCGATGCCGAAGTAGTTGTTCATGACACACTTCTCAGTGTAGCACTCTCTGTGAAGCGGATCCCAGTCTGTTACCACCACCCCTCTGCTCGATGCTTCCTCAGGGCAAACCTGGGCTTCCTACTCGGCAGGGAGAGGCTGGGGCAGAACACGCAGACCATACGATCCACGCATTCAGAGCGTTCAGCTCCGTGGCAGTGCTCAGCACACGCAGAACCACACGACCCCGCCACCTTCAATCATGACCCTCAGGGAGAAGCCCCGTGCCCTCAGCCTCGTGGCCCCGGGCGGGGGCGACCCCATGCACTTCCCATCTCTGCCTGCGGAGGAGCCGGGCTGCACCAGCCTCTCGGGTCTGCCTTCTTCTGTCACTCAGTGTCACGTGTCTCTGGTTCACTCAGTCACTCGAATTTTATTTTCTAAATCGCTAGAAAACACTCATCGTATGGACTGACCACATACTTTGTCCACAGCCCAGCTGATAGATACGCTTGCCTAAGGTCTAGGGCCAACTTGTGGCTTCCATTCTCTTGGGGACAAAGCTTGGAATGGATCGGTGTGGGGTCATATGGGCAAAGAATGAAGAACACAGAATCAGGAATGGAAGCAGAATGCCAGAAAGATGTCTGTCTGTCTGTCTGTCTGTCTGTCTGTCTGTCTGTCTGTCAGCCAGCACTGGCTGTGTGGATCCTAACAAACTACAGAGAACGCTGGAGTTCCAGGCCCCAGCCCTGGACTCATGCAGGACCTGACAGACGCCAGGAGGCTGCTATTGGGCCAAACACGGGGAGGCTGCAGAGGTTAACATCAGGAAAGGTGTGTTTGGGGGCGCTGCCCTTTCACCACACTTCTCTCATCTGCCTGCTGAGCAAGCAGCCCGAGAACAGGAGGCACCAAGACTGGAGGGGGCTCAGGAACCACCTTCGATGGGCAGGTGATGCAACCATGCTTGCTGAAAGCGGAGAGGACTGAGTGCAGTAGGGACCAGAAGGCCACGGGCGGGTTCACCAACCCGGCGGGGTAGGCCGTCATCAGCCACCTTCCTAAAGGGGAGACCTGTGCCACAGGGTCGCGGTTCCCTCACCAGCGAGCAACCAGAGGGAGAGGCCCTGGACTAATTTCTCCAGCCAGCTCAGAGGGCATTTCCTGGCCCCGCCCCTTCCCCAGGAGGGTCGCCCTGTGGGTGGGCACTCGTACTCACAGGCTGTCCGGCTCTGAATGAAAGGGGTCGGCGTTAATGAGCAGACGGCTGATGACGGAAGCCCCTGGCAAGGACCCCGACATGCCGGCCCGGACATCTGGAAGGGAGGCACAGAGAGATACGCCAGTCACACCCACAGAATCCAGAGAAGCCGGGGTCCAGGGCTGACGCAGTACACATAGTCTTAGAAAGTCAGCCTCATGACACATCTTCAAACATGTCCAAATTCCGAAAGTTAACTGTCTCGGGTCAAACATCCCCAGAGCCAGCCCACATCCATCGAATCAGTCACAGGGAACAGCAGAGACAGCACCTGTGAGACCCACAAAAATGCCCTACGCTGTTGAGTTGGCGTGATACGTGGGTGATGCCGACGCAACTGTTTCACAATAGCAACTCTTACACCATTGGGTAACAAGAAACAAAAAGCTTACATGCGGGGACTTTCACACCACAAGACTAGCTTCCTGGGAGATAAATAAGCTTAAGACGTGCCAGGTGGCCGAATCCTTAAGCTACATGCACCAACTTAGAAATGCTGGGCACATTCTGCCCGTCCTCTGCTTCCAGAGTACCTCTGTCACCGATCAGACTCATCAAGCCCTCCTCACTAGCCCCCAGGCCCCAGGAATCGTCTTTCCACGCAGCAGAGATTCCATCTAGAAATGGGCAGACTGGGTCCAGGAGAAAGGTTAGGTGAGGTGTGCGTGGCTCAGCCTAAGACACCCTGGGTGTCTGAGTGAGGCAGTGAGCTCCCCTCGGAGTCAGAGACCGGTGCTAGGGGACAGTTCTGTTCCCCGTCTTCCCGAGCCTCCCGGGCAGTCAGAGGGGCAAGAGCATGGACACTTTAAACTGTCTTCCTGCCCCAAGGGCCTGCAACCCTCCAGGCAGTGGCCCTGCCTCGCCCTGGGTGAACAGCGGGAGCAAGCTGGCTGGTCAGTGACTCTGTGGCTGAGGGGACGCCAGGCCCTGGCCTCTGTGATCAGCAAGCACACTCACGTGGGTACAGAATCTTCGTGTTCAGCGCTGGCAGGGTGTCCCGGCTTCCCGCCTGGGGAGGGAGAGATGCTGAGCTGCCCAGGGACAGGCTTCCCTTACTTATCAGCTTCTCACACGGGGATCTGGACACTGAAACCAGAGAGAAAAGTTGAGTCCACCTGAGACAGACTATGTCACTGAAGTCTAAGAAGCAGGGGCAGGGGGGTGAGCAGTTGGTCCTGGGGC